TTGCTCTTATACCCTCGCTCTAACCAACAGGATCGATTAAAACAACAACTTTAATGTCTCACGCCTCCGACTGGCTATTGTTGCTTTTTTTACCATAAAGCTAAATCAAAGTTCAGTTTAATTTATAACTGTCATCTTTTCGAGACATTTTACAAGTCTATACAGTCTCGACTCAACGCGGAGGATGAGGATGTCTGTAGCGTAGAGCCTCGACACTTTGCTCAAGGTAGAGGCGAGCATAGCAATAGCGAAGATCATGTAATTCCACTGTTCAGCAGAAGCACATCGTGGAATGCTACGATTGCTCCAAAACGAGACTAAGGTTTCAACCAGTAATTAAGTCATCGCAGAGCCACCTTTTCTTTCTGGAATTTGACCTTGTCAAGTCCCACTGCGTGTCAACAGAGCAGCTACTTTCGAGTGGATTTAATGTGACAAAGTTATCGACTCAATTTGCATCCACCTTTGCTGTCAAATATTTTGGATTTTAAGGTAAAATGACGTGGGTCAAACGAGCCTCCTTTGGTTTCCGGGGCTTTAAATTCCCTACCAATGACATTGGACCTCTACTTGGGACAATGAATGCTACTCGTTTCTCAACCTCTTTGTAAGTTTTTTCACAGACGCCTATACGCGTCTGAAAGTGCATTTACTCATGGACAAAACCTGCTTTTCGCCATTCATCAGACAGTCTTTACTTATAGTAAACCAACTTTGTTATTAACAAATTGTAAACGGTTTTCGCAGTGCCCATAATGAGAGCCTAGAGGTTCCCATGAAACCTTCGGAAAGTTCACAAACTTTGTGAGCATGGGGTGAGTGCCCTTAGGTGCCGACAAGTGCTGCCTGACCGGAAGCGGCTTCAGCACTACAATAAAGGCTAAATAGGTGACTCTGGATTTGTTAGTTGGAAAGCACTAAGCACCGACGCATGCGGGTGGTCGCGTGTGTATTCACCCATACACCACAATGACGGCACTTCTAAAAGAGTAGAGAACGAAGTGGCATCCAATGCGAAAGGATAAGAGCACAAAATCTAAAACATCCCAATCGCCGGAGCCGGTGCTACCCTTTATAACACCACCGGACAGGGAGATCCAAGTGACTGTTAAGTGTTTCTGCATGTCCGAGGAGATGCTCAACTACGCTGCAGTGTCGGCCGAGGAGGCCTTAAAGAGGTTTTCTACCCGCAAAGACGTTGCAGCATACATGAAGAAGGAGTTCGACGAGAAGTACGGTCCTCTGTGGCACTGCGTAGTAGGGCGAGATTTTGGCAGGTGAGCTGCTACCTATTTTAGAAGGAGTTCAATTGTCATACGAAAGGGTAGCACAACAGTGAATCGCCTCCAGGTAGAAACATAGACTCAATTGCATCTTCTTAAAATGCATAAGTAGGCACGCCAGTAGGGCATCCCTGAGACTGACCCTGCGGCACTGTTTTTAAAATGATGTGAAGATTCCATAAAACCTACCCTCCTATGCTTTGTCAGGAGCTCTTTAAGGGTACTATTGCTGAAAATAACAAGACTATGACCTGCTAAAACAGGATATTTACTTTCTGCTTTGCAAAGCACATTTTTAGCTTCAAATTACCACCCCACTCGTGATTTAGCTTGCTTATCTTTACACCAGTTGTTTTCGCCTGGATTAAGCTAAAACATGGTTAAAATCAATGGACCTCTTAACATCGTCGGCTTAAAGATAAGCTATTAATAACTGTGTCTTACCTTTGGCGAATGGGCACGTCCAACTCCCACTTCATAAGTGAGAGACAGAAAAGTGACAAGGCGGTCCATTGTCAAATCGATTTGTCAGAAATGAGTTGTTTTCGACTGTTTGCAGTGCCTTCCACTTAACGATATTTGTGGGTGTTACACTCTGAAACTTTCCCGGAAGGAAATCGACATTTGACTAGGACATTGCCGATGCACATATTGTCTGATCATTATAGACACCGCCTTAAGGACCTGTACAGCCAAAAAGACAAGTAAGCCACCTTATCAACGCATAACACAGTGCTCCTCCGGTCTCGAGCTTCTTCCCTGTAGCTTACTCTAATCAGCTTTTCGTGTCGGTGATCACAACGAAGTAGGAGTCGCAGAAAAGAACCTTTACAAATCATTTATTACATCTGCATAATTGCGAGTCATCTGCCACTCTTGACACGTCTATTGAGCCCGGATTTTCCACCTGAGTGGTATTATGTCAGGATGGGAAGGAAGGAGCCTTCATCTAACATGGTCCTCGTTTCCTATCAAGAATGGCCAAACAACGGTATCGCCATTTAATAAGGAACAGGTTCGTATTGCCTTCCTCTGCACTCAGTTACGTCCACCAGTCTAGTTGTGCTCTATCCAATCAGCAGAGACACAGAACTATTGCGTTTTCATTTGATTGACATTTCCATTACTGCTCACGTATAGGTAGTGAATTTCTCTTGGCAGTTCACAACTAGCTTTGCCAAAGTGAAAGAACGTCATTTTTAATCATGTGTTTTCGAACACTCTGGATTTGCACGTCTCTCACATATGCGCCTCCATTGTCCTGCTAGGGTCCAACATTGAGGGGTGGTAATCACGACCTCTGAGTCAGCCCCAGAAGCAAAAGAAGGCAACTGTGTAATGTTGACGTAGAGGAGAGCTGAGATTACTAAACTACGACGATGTGCACCCAAAGCCCATAGTGCGGAAACAAATTCGAGAGTTAAGCTCAAAGTTAAGATACTTCAATAATATTTTTCGGTTTGGAATACTATGAAAAAGACCTCTTCGATAAAGGACTGCTTAAACTTACTGGAATCACATAACACCGCTCTGTTGCGTCTCTCATTTGGTCTAACTTATCTAAACGTCGACAAATAGAGTTTGCAGAGGAAGAATGCCAAATTATGTTGTTGACACTAACGTTGACAAGTTTTTGATTTCGTGTCCCTATACATAGTTTTTCTTATTTTAGTTACGTCACACATCAAGAACACGGATTCGTTGTCTTTCGAGTCGACGATTGGGCTTTCCTCCTATTCTCCACCCGACATTAAACAGTTGTTTACGTTATAAAATACATATTTAAGCCCACACTGACCCGTGGCTGATAACCGTAGGAGCTTTTGTGGTAGTATTTAACCACGTGATCATTGTCTGGTTAATCCGCTACCTGTATTTAGATGTCACGCCAGGGTACAAATTATGTGCCTACATTCGCACCAGCTGGTGTTGCAAGATTATGCAGGGCCAGCAAGCAAGTCGGGTCACCTGCTGACCCTGTGAACGGCAAGCAGAGCAGAGGCGATAGACGAGGTGTACAGACTGCAAAGTTGTGAAAATTGAATACTTTTGAAATGTGCCAAGCACAGAAGTAGCTGCTGTTCAGTATTCATCTCAGGAGAAGGTTGGGCTACCAGAGTGAGGTCATCTTTTGTAACAAACAACTTCTACAACATCACAAGTCTGTATGGGTGTAAGGGTGAATTTTAACCTGGCTTTTTCAAAGCCAAAGTACCAATTTTACCTTGCAATACAATATGCTTGCATATCGCCCATAAGAGGACAACGCAAGATCAGGATTAGGGATTAAGTAAGAGAAGATTTAAGCTAATTTGACGAACAGACGTGTTTTGTGATTGTGAGCAATATCAAATTCATTTTATGTCTCTGAGCCCTGGTCGTTCACCTAATTTTACAAAATGTATATATATGTGATTGGAAAGCGCATCCAAATTATTTTCCAATCAGCAATTACAGTGTTGTTCTTCTGCGCATGTTTGCCTACCGTCGTTGAAAATGATCCCACCCGCCTTTGTAAACGTAACCAACCGGTTAACGACATTCCTACTCCTCAAAACCTCAGATTTTGGCAAAAATTTATTCAGCACAATATACACCAAGCATACAATGTTTAATTTTCCATAAATTAACCGTAACAACCTTGTCCTTTCATCTAAATTTTATCAAACTGTTTTGTTGTTAAGACAAAGATCATAGTCAATGTTACTTAACCGATATAAGTAGACTCACCGATAAACCCAATTTGATGATTAATTCGAGTAAAATGCAATGTCTTAGTCGCCCACATTAATCCAGACGAGACTTCTGTTTTCCCCATAGCCAGCTATAATCCGCCATCTAATGTTAGACAGTACCATAGTCACAGTATTTATTGAAGGCGTTATGGAGCCGCGATCCTGTTTCTCGTTCCCTGAGTTCGCACTCAATATCTTTTCTGGTATCTGATTGTCACACCTAAAAAAGTAACACGGTCAGCTGGGGTCGAAAGGTGAATCACGAGTTATTGTACATTGAATATATGCATTACACAAAAGAATTAATAGAACTGGCACACCTACGCTTAATGCAGCCTGAAATGCTGCTCATGCCCCTCCCCTAACATGGAAAACTCACTTTTTCATCATGTCCCTGCACGTAAATCTATGGCAAAAAATAACCATAAACCTATGGGCTACTAGCCTCAAGGATCGAGTCATCACTCTTGGCGCTCAACCTTCGTTTTTGAACTTCAAAATACAGCAACAGACTAGCTAGGTGAACGCTTCCGGACGATTGACGTCAATCAATAAATCGATGAAGCATTTTATCAGAGCAGCACCTATACGTTGTGCTGTACTGCAAACTTTGAACTATCACCTTTCTCATAACCCAAACATCGACTATCTTCTCTCTGGGTCATTGTTTTGATTTCGAACTCCTAATTACTTTGGTGTAGGTACAAAGCAGGTAAGCGTGATGGGGAGATTAACCAACCATTCAAGACCCAAAATAAAACAAATTATTACCTTGAGATATAAAATATCAGAGCTGTGGTAGGCATTAAGGTAAAGCGCTGGCCTAAATAACTGCAATCGCGTTGATGTTTAATAACCTGCACATCCCGACGTGACCTCTCTCGGGAAGATATAAGCCTTTTAGGCAAAGTTCACCACTTTAACTCTGAGCTCTACTTAAAAATGCAATTGGTGATAGATTCCAACAGTAGTCTGTCAAAAATCCTCTTTCTTTTGGCATGCAAGCGGGTACACTGAGATGGAATGCACGCCGCGTGGTGCGTGTGTGAACGCACCAACATGCGTCTAAGCTGGCACACGTGTGCATGCGCCTGCACGCGTGCGTACGCACTGGGTTACTTTCGCGCGATTTTATCGATTTTCAGTTGGCGAGTCATGCTACGCACCACGTGCGAGCAGCGTGGCCACCGCATGTGTGCGCGTACGCACAACCCTCCTACGGTTAGCTGGCCAGCCATGACGGCGTTGTCGTGGCGACCGTGAACTAGGATCACGGTTAGCCAACCGATGCTGTGACTGGCACGCTTGTGGATGTTAAAAAAGTACGCATTAGAGCGTATTGAGTTAGAAGTAAAGAAGAGATAAAGCTAAAATTCCCTCTGAGACCTAAAATCCAAGTAGGATTAAAATCTCCAATTCTTGTTAAACCAGCTGTGAACAGCAGGATTAATTCTTGTGGATGTTGCCACCTTTATCGCTTCACTGCCACACATTCACAATCCACTCCATCAATTACTTTGTCAAAACTTTGCGAACATCGTTAGATAAATTTTCCTGACTTCAACTTCCCCAAAATCAAAGCGCTCGACCAATTTGGCATAGCTTTAACCACGAGCATAGGAGACCAACATAGGCCACATTTCTATAGATTAAGCGAATGATTCCATGAGATGCCCATAACTTGAAAATCGGATTGTCAAGCCCACTTGGTCAGCCAACCACCAAGTCCGATAGCTGTGCCGCCAAGCCTACCCACATTCCAAGCCCGTTGCCCG